GAGTTTGGATATTGAACAAGATGCAGATCATATAAACTCTGAGTTTCAACTCTCCTGCTCAAAAAACAACCCTATACCTTTACTGTGTGCTGGTACTCAATAACCGTGCCTTGGTAAACTGGACTAAGGTCTGTCATTTTGGTAGACTCTTTTTCAAAAAACCACACTGAATTGTGATCTCCAGAAAGGGAAAAGTCTAGTGCACCAGAGAAATGAGTTAGTTAATATATAAGAAATATTCTAACACATTCATAAACAGATTTCCAATCTCTTTCAACCAGCTGACCCAACCTTTACGTCTCATACACAGTTTGCCTTAATTCCATTTCTTTCAAAATTTAGGAGATGGATGTTCTCCTCCTCAAGCAGTTAAGTTGTTTAAATTTCAGTTTCATCGGGTAGAGTGTGTTTGGGGACTGCATTTAAAAAATAGGTGTATTTTGCCAGTTCAGAGTGTTATACCGTGACCTTGTTTTGTTATACTTGTGTTACATTATATTAAGTTACATCATAGTTGTGTTACGTGTACATGGATGCGCCTGCACAGGAAAAGAACAGGAATAAAAGGAATCTTGGAATGTTCATGTTCATTGCTGGTTTGTTTATAATTTCGTCCTTGTTTTTCCCAAGATACAACAAGAGGACTTCATACTGAATGTTTTGGAGATGAGTATTTTAAATGTCTTGAATAATGCTTCAAGTGCAAAATTAGCCTTACAAAGATTAATATGTGTAAAAAAAATGTTTCAGTTTTTGTGAAAACTCACTGGGGCATCGGTGTGACTTTGGAAAGAGATGGGAAAATCCAGATAACACTAAGAACCAATCAGATTGCAAGAGTTGTTAACAATTGCCCTACTGGAAAAAATCTAATTATGAAATATTGACAACAACATAAATACCGCCATGACTTCTTTTTCCCTGATCCCAAAAGATATCCACCAGTTTCCATCCCTGTTGTAAGTATTGTGTAAAGTGTGCCATCCAGTCACAAGTGACTTTAACCAGCTTTCCAGGACCGAGGTACATTATTTGAACAGGAACATTAACAAGTTGGTACGTGTACAGTGTAGGGTTTGTGTGCATTGGCATGTTAAAGAACACATCACAGCCAAACACTGAAAAAAAGGAAGGTTATTTCTTTCAACAAACTTTTATCTTAAAAAAAAATTGTATTAAATAAATATGAAAATAAAATATGAAAATAAAATATAAAATATGAAAATAGAACATGAAAATTAAACAAATAGCAAAGTTTAATTACCGTCTCTTTTACCACCAACATTTGCTAATACTCCTTGACTTTGTTTCTGTCCAGTTAGTTCAACACTTGCTAAACGCCCGCCTTGCCTGCAATATTGAGCAATCTGCCACATAAAAAAATGCAAAAACCTATGTCGCTAATTGCATAGGTCAGGTAAATTATCAGTAAGCTACCTTTTCATTCAATTCTAGTTTTCATTTTGTAGTGGGAGAGAGTTGAACTAAACAGGGTGTTTATTAATCAGTTTGAGGAATTATCTGCTTACTATCAAAGTTTTCTGGCTAAATTATCAAGGTCTGAGCTACTTTTTAATCAAACTTGGAAAATAGTCACCCCTGACTTTACCTTCTAGTAAATTGCTTTATGAGGGGCCACCCCAAGAACACCTGGTGATGGACAGTCGTGAAAAAAAATAAGGAGATTGGGAAGACTTGAGGAGCCAACAAGCTCATAGCAAAGGACTAGCAGAAGTGGAGGGAGCTCTTAGAACAGCAATGTGCTCTTCCATTGAGCTGTGTTCTAAATACAAATTAATTAAATAACCAATAAATATCTCTAAATTAATTATCTGTACAAGGTTTCAAAACGACTATAAAAACAATTTCATTACTTATACTATAAAAACGATTTCATTACTTATAGCTACTTATCAATATTAATCAAATACATGACTTAAAGGAACGAAGAGTTGGCTGTAGCTTAGCGCTCAAGGGTAGGCTGTAACTGAAAGGAAAGCAGTGCCACTTACACATGCAATGATTCCTGACTGATTAGTAACATCATTGCCACGCCCTGACAGCTGATCCAACAGTCCTGCTCGTTCCACTGTCTGGATGCTTGATTTTACCACCAACAGTTGCCATGAGTGGTAAACTGGAGCACTGAATGACAAAAACAGCATTTTTTTAAGTAACAACTCACTGTAGCTTAAGTAATGAAAATTAAGTTTTTAATCTGTGATTGTGTTCTACAGATAGATAGATGTGTGTTATATTTTTACCATACCCCATTGGCCTTGAGAAGACTCCTTGATATGGAGTTTCACTTGCATTCCAGCCAATCTTTCCAATTCCAGGAACTGCCTTAAATGTTTCAAGAATAAATCCTTGCTGATAAGGTTCACCAAGCTTGGCATACTTACTGGTCACATCAGAGGAGACACTTGTCTTTCCAGTGACAAGGCCAAATGTGGCTGCATTGTAGAGAGAAAGAATAGATAATTATATACTAGGTTTTCTGGGGTTCCTTTAAAAGGAACATTTTAAAATAGGACAATTTTTCCAAACAAAAAAGGGAGAAGATAAAGCAATCAATCATTCGCTCCGACAAAGGGCTAACGCTCGAAACATCAGCTTTTATAATCATAACGGTGGCCAATTTACTATTTCAACTTTGTTGATATATTCAAATTATAACTAATCAGTAAATCTGCCTAGTGGTAACTGCACTAAGATAATTTTTGTCTTATTAACCCTATACACCCTATCATCAGTATACCCATTATCCATACTGTTCTCTACACATTCTACAAGCTGTTGACAAGGAGAATTTGTTTAACAATTAAGAGCTTCTTTAAGTAGTTTATTCTGATGACCTTATTGTGTGATTCAGGGTGATATTGTAAGGAGAAATTAGATGCTAGTCATTGAGGGATCAAAGGGTTAAGCAAACTATAGGTAAAGCAAAGATCTATGAGGAGCTTTATCTGCTTACTTTGACCAATTGTTGTGACATCAACAGTAACAAAATGAAGGCTGTATCTTATTCCTGGAAATGGATATTGATCTTCAGGAAGAGGAGTGTGTTTGCCTTTAGCTTGTTGGTCTGTCTGTTGAGTCTGGCTGGTTTCATTACCAGCAATGAAGTTTCCAACCTTTTTCCTTTCAGAAAAGAAATGGAAAATATCACCATTAACTTGTAGAGACACAGAGGTTATACATTTTCCTTTTCATCAATTCCTCTGGATCCTTCATTAAACCTCTGAAATTTTTTTTCAACATTTACTTTCTTTAAAATGCCTGTTTTGAAAATGAGATCACTGATGAATGCACCCCTTACAAAGATCATTGTTATTACCATCATGAGTATAAATAAAAGCTGGGCTGTACAGCTGATTGTTAGAATACATGCCCGGATATTCCGAGCACTCACACTTAAGTTACTTAACAGTTGTCCCAGATTAGAATACACCACAACGTACTACTGCTCAATTGCAAATTGAAGTTGCTCCCGGCCACTCATTTACATGTCATTAAATAAGAATAGCGTCTATTGTGTTATACCTCATTCTTCAAAGCCTCCCGACATATGTAAATGATGTGGACGGGTATTCTGAAGTTGCTCCCGCATTAGTTGATGCGACATTTTGTGTAACTACGGAGCAACTTCAGAATACCCGTCCACCTCATTTACATGTGTCGTGAGGCTTTGAAGAACTAGGCATAACACAATAGGCGCTATTCTTATTTAATCGTTCCACTGCTGTTGCAAATAGTAGTTTAATATTTTACTTCGTCAACTACAGCTTTTAGTCATGAGCTGAGAGCTACAGGACAGCTTCCGCCTAGTCACATAGCAGTAGCCCCCTCCCAGTGAAAAACTGTTTCGTGGTTTTATGGAAGACTAATACTAACAGTTTTACCATAATCGACTAACGATGAAACTCCAATATATAATTAGGCAAAAATAAACAAGTTACGCTGTAATAATTTGCATGAACCTCAAGCTTTACGATAATCGCGCCATTTAAAAACATTTCTATTCAATTATTTTGGAGGAATGGGTCATAATCCACTCACCTTAAGGAATTCATAGCGTCCTGGAATTCAGGCACTAAGATCGTGCAAAATCACTGGAGAAATCACTCATAATTCTGTGTTTCACACTAACTTGACTGAACTGAAGTAGTCCAAGTATGTTGATGGGGGAGAATGGTAACTAGTGCCAGTTTCCTTCTGGCCATACGGCACGAAGACGGCAGCCAACTCAGGATGGAAGATTGTATATACAGCTCAGTACTAATCTAATTTCAGTATAAATCACTCGTGAGCATGGAATATAAGTTGAAAGGAGGTCATACAGACCAAATGGTACTCCTGTGTTCATAGCACGTCGATGCAGCTATACCCATTACAGTTCTAGCTTTTAAAAATTACTTCCTGCTGATCATTTAGGCGTTTGGTTCTACAAGTTCGCAAAGCTTGTATTAAAGTCACTCCGGCTTATAACCGAGATTTACAAGCTTTTCTCGGGTTCTCCCAACATCTCTCGTTCGTTTATCACGCTACAAAACTAGGAAACATGAGTTATGTTGCATAAATATAATATATGATAAATACTCATAAATAAGTTATCAAATCTTCCCAAAATCACTACACAACCAACTCAGTCGCTGTCTCCAAAATGGCCATATCTTTGCTCAAATACAAATTTGCGTAGTAGTTTAATATGATGATGATAATAATAATAATAATATTATAGACAATTTACTGATTGACAGAGTTGTGACCTTAGATTGTCAGAGGCGAAAGCGTAATTTGAGTATGGCGTGGATTGACGTCAAAAAGGCGTACGACTCGGTAGACCATGGTTAGTTGGAAGAGATGATGATCTTACATAGATTCCCTATCTGGTTGTCAAGGACGGTAGAGAAGTTAAGCAAGAGCTGGAACACAAGGGTGGTGGCGACAACAAAGCTAGGACGCGAGAGATCTGAGCCAATCAGGTATCTTAAAGGTCTACCGCAGGGTGATGCTCTCTGTCCCAGACTCTTCACGGTTTGCTTGAATCCTATTGCGTGGAAGATCAGTGCCAGTGAGGGCTAGAAGCTATCTAAGCCAATTAGTGTAAAGGTAACAGATTTGCTGTATATTGACAATCTAAAGGTCTTTGCGTCTTCGGAGAGTAAACTAAGCCGTGTTATGGAATCAACCAAGACTGCAATGGAGGATGTCGGACTCCAATGGAACCCCAAAAAGTGTGCGGTCGTTCATGCACGGAGGGGAGTATATACCCCTGCCCATGATGCCACGGGGCTAAGGGTAGGTGAGAATATCTGTATTCCAACCTTGAAGAGAGAAACCCGTACAAGTTCTTGGGTGTTTTGGAGACGGTGAGGCAAGAGGAGAGGATGTCGTTGAAAGGCGCAGCCAAGGAGTATCTTCGCAGAATGTCTTTCATCTGGTCAAGTCCCTTGTCTGATTATAATCGTGTAACAGCCTCGAACCAATTTGCATTACCAGCGTTGGGCTACCTGATGTGGACACAACAATAGCCGGTGACAGTGCTTAAAAAGTTGGATAGAGAAGCTCGCAAGATAATTGTTGAGAATGGTGGAAAACATCCCAGCGGGTCAACTGCAATTTTATACCTGCCATGAGAGAAGGGAGGGAGAGGCCTGCGTTCGATGGAGAAAGAGTACAAAGTAACGAAGATAAAGGCGGCAGTGAAGTTATATAGTAACAGCGACCCAGCCATGGCGATGGTTCGTGAGTTTAAAGAGAGAGCGAAAGAGTTAGGACACAGTTCGTTAGTTAAAGAGGCTGCAAGGTATGCAGATGAGATGGGTCTCCAGTTGCAGCTGGAATACCCAAGTCCAGCTTGCATAAAACGTGATAGTGGAGAGGTGATAACAGCAGAGAAATTTAAAGAAGAGCTACATACCTACATGCTTTATTGTAACTCCCTAAAAAGGGAGTTACAATAAAGTATGTAGGTATGTAGAGCTGAGAGGGGTTTTGGAAGAGAAGACATGGGAAACGGTGCTTGAGCAGAATTGGCAGGGGAAATTGTTCTCTGCGAGAACAGAAGTCGAGAGTCTTAACTTCAGCGGATGTTATTAGTGGCTAAGCAGTTGGAAACAGTGCCCAACACATACAGTGGCGGGGTTGGTTGAACTCTACGAGCAATTATTACCGACGAGGTTGTATGCCTGCCAGAAAACGCACACAGACACAGCGGGTGAGGTGAGGTGCAGGTTAAGTGGTAAGGCCCCTGAAAGTGTCGCCCACGTCTTGGCTGGTTGTTCCGCCCTCGCTCAGAATAAGTATCTTACCCGACATAAAGCAGCCTTGAAAATACTTTTCTTTGAAATTCTGCACGACCTAGGCTTTGTAGACACAGTCCCCCCTTGGTACTCGCCATTGAAACCGAAGCCAGTGTACGAGGCGAACAATGCGCAAGCATTCTGGGACGTTCCTTTATTTGCGGAGCACCAAGAAGTTAGAGCCAACAGAATAGATGCGCGTATTATCGACCATGAATCAAG